ATTTTCTTCCTTTGTCTTTTATTTTTTTTATTGAATCTTAGAATGACCCTAATTGTAATTCAACTTTATGCAAGGATGAGGATTTTTGTTCATATCTGGACTATTCTTTTGTAGCCTAACCCAACCTCACCTCTGCTCTAATTCATTTGTAGACTGAACCTATGTGGCATTGATTTGCACATACAAGATTTATATTAACCATATTGCGATGCTGTTATGCAGATATTTGGGATTTTTATCGAAATTGTTCGTATTTTATGCTTTCTCTTCATGATTCTGACTCTACATTGTAGACAAACGTTTGCCAAATAATGGCGTCTTTTTAGAGAAGATGTTAAGCATCGCTTTTGAATAATTCAATGCTCTCTTTGATAACAAAAAGTGAGTTTAGATTTTGAATGGTGTTTATGGCTTTGTTAAATCTTTAGTGTAGTTATAGCCGTCCTTGCTGATATAAATATTTGATAAGACAAGGAATTTGAGCCTCTCTTGTAGAACGATAGTGAACATGCTATTCTCTTAGACTAAATAATTATCTGGCCAGTTTTATACATATTATTATTTACGACAATATACAACAAACTATTATCATTATTATTATTATACATATTATTTACGACATTATGCAGCAAACTATTATTCGTATTATTATTATACATATTATAATTTACGACATTATACAGAAAACTATTATTATCATTATTATACATATTATTTACGACATTATGCAGCAAACTATTATTATTATTATACATATTATTATTTACGACATTATACAGCAAACTATTATCATTATTATTATTATACATATTATTTACGACATTATGCAGCAAACTATTATTTGTATTATTATTATACATATTATTATTTACGACATTATGCAGCAAACTATTATTATTATTATACATATTATTATTTACGACATTATGCAGCAAACTATTATTATTATTATACATATTATTATTTACGACATTATACAGCAAACTATTATTATTGTACATATTATTTACGACATTATGCAGCAAACTATTATTTGTATTATTATTATACATATTATTATTTACGACATTATGCAGCAAATTATTATTATTATTATACATATTATTTACGACACTATGCAGCAAACTATCATTATTATTATACATATTGTTATTCACGACATTATGCAGCAAATTATTATTATTATGCATATTATTATTTACGTATGATGCAGCACACTATTATTATTATTATTATTATTATTATTATTATTATTATTATTATACATATTATTATTTAAAACATTATGCAGCAAACTAATATAATTTTCAAACAATACAGAATGTCACTTCACCTAATAATATCAGGTTTTTAAATTCTCATGACTGGAAGGGATTTATTTAAAAAAACGATTTAAAAATAAACAAAAAGGGGAAGATTGCAATAAATTATTATTATACTAAAAAAATAGGACCAAAAGAATGATGTTAATTATTGACTTGTTGATTATGTTTATGTAACAGCTATACTTACCTTCCAACATGTAAAGGACTCAAATAAAAAAAAAAAAACAAAAAAAAAAAACAAATGTGTTTGTATCTACACATATACAGTTTATCATTTAAACACACCAAACCATGCCCAAGTCGATGGATGCAGATGAAATAAAAACGCAAATACAGACAAATGATATAAGCGTTTAGTTTAGAAACTCCGATAATGTTCATGGTGATCGTAATATTAGCAGTTTCCTTGTAAGAAAACATTCGGTATTTATTGACCGAGAAGCCAGGACCGTTGTCGATTGAAATTTGGAAAATCTTTCTCTTAAAACGTTTTTTCAAGAAAATAGGATTTTTTAAATACAATACCAGATATCTCTCTTTCTAGCACTAATGGGAGTTTCCTTCTCATTTTTTTATTTCAAATAGTGCGTCAACCTTTTGACTAGGTCATTATTTTCTCTTCGAGTTACATGTGATATACATTTTAGCTCTCGCAGTTGAAAGTCTCTAAGTGATGTGGTTTTTGTTATTTGGTACTATTCTTTGCGATTCTTAATATTCCACAAGATTCGAAGAAGTGTGGTCTTCGCCAAGATCCACAGGTTTCATTCGCTCAAGTACTGCTCAATATCCAGCGCCAACGCAAGATTCTAACACTAGCGTTATGCAAAGGATAATTTTGAAATAATTTAACAGGATTAAAGTTAAGACTCTTTTTTTAGAAGCGCAAAATCAGTCTTATGAGACTGAAATAATAAACATACATAAAATTCACAACTTGAACGAAAAGACACATGGCACAGTGGGTAACGGCATTAGTTAGATATAGTGACAGGACCCAAAGAGTGTGAGTTCAATACCTGGTTAAGGCGGTGGAGAACTTGAAGAGGGGAATTAACAGGAGATAATTGATAACTGACATCCATTAGACATGACACGTGGAACTAGAACAGTCTACCCCAGCGAGCGAAATAAAGGGTTCAGTTCGACATTCCAACCACCTGAAGGAGGCCGGAGCGTACAACGGCCGAAACGTTGTGATAAATATGGCAGCAAAGATGAGGGCACTAGTCCGAATAATGTAAATAGTGTACATAATACCTCATCTCAGAAATATAGACAGATACTGAAAAGACACTTTGTATCCAATTTTTAGCATTTCTCTATTCTATAAAAAGTTAAATATTTGATGGCAACTATCCCAAATCATTTAGTTCGATCATCGATACCAAAGGTCATAAGCAAATCGATCTTTGATATCAAACGTCATAAGCAAATAAAATCGTTAGACCAACGAAGTAAAAGAAGAGAATTTTGTAAAGTAATGTTAAGCAAACATTAAATTATCGTCGATGGCGCGTCTTTTGACGCAAATGTTAAGAGTATGTTTTGTTGCGCAATGCAACATTATTTATCTTTGCTGCCCTCGCCCTTAGGAATACGTTTGCGTGATTGGTGGGAAGACTCAGCCCGATTATCAGGCAAGTGAAGGAAATAGTCAATACCGTGGTGTAGATGATTAATCAATGCAAGTTTCGCTACTTTTTCTGTCTAGCAAATGTGGAGTAGTTTAACCAATATATTTTCTGTTTCCATAAAGTCTATTTACCTTAATACAAAGATTACATTTATCTAAATGGACAATTGGTTTTATCATCTATTTGAAATCCATACAACTTGATAATAGATATGAAAAGTCTTCACTTGTTCTAACACTATACTTTGTGGCATTACCTATGATTGACAGTATCACTTTCATAGACGACAGAAGGCATTATATATTAAATCATTTTTCAGAATCTATCATTGGTTGAAATAATAATGTATTAAGTATAAAGCTGCAAGCAATCTGTTTCTCCCTAAATCACAGCAAGTTTATACTATCGAAAGGAGAGTATTCAGTACTATTTAGACGCTGGAATCAAAGTAAGTTTATAAATAAACAGAGGGATCTAGAAGGAAACATACGATTTGGTTGTCGTATGAAGCTGCTCTAGTTTAGCCGGCCGGACACGGAAATGTTACCTATTCTGTGAAAGTAAATTTTTGTCTCTTCAAGCGATAGAATTCGCTATTTCTTTCTCATGTTCTTTAACATCGTTTTTTTTTTTTTTACTAATTTTTATCAACGTAAAGCTTTACAGTTGAAATGGTATGTTTAATGTGGTGTGAGATATAAGTGGAAAAAAAGGTGATAGGAAGTAGAGATTTATCAGTTAGATAACGATTGACACTTGACTTGAAGAGGTGAACATTAAACTGTTCAGAAAATCACCCACGCGGTCTTCTGTTCCACGAAGTGGCAATTCATGTAAAAAAAAAAAAAAAAAAAAAAAAAAGCTGCCCGAATGAAACTTTCTTCTTAAATTTGGAACACCGGAATAATGAAGGTGATTCGATTCCGTGTAAGTGGCATTATCTGCCCTAATAGTAAATATCTGAACTGGTAGAAAATGAAGATCATCCAAATATTGAACATTCATGTTGAGTCTGAGGCCATGTGGTGAGATGAATGAAGGCATAGCACCCCCATCACTAGTGATCACGCCAAACACCATGATGTTAACTGGATATATCATCCAACTCTTTCCGAATCCTCTCCACTGTTCTCAGATTGACACCCAAACACGCTGAAATGTTTGTATTGGAAATTCCGGTGAGAATGCTGTTGGGGTTAAAAGGATGCGCAAACCGGAGAGTCTTTATTTTTTGGTAGGATGATCAATTTAGGAGAAGGAAAACTCTGAATTCAAAACCAGCCTATTACGGCAGCTGCACGTGGTTTCCCCAACGACCTCTGTGGGTGACACGATACGTGACCGATTAATCATCGAATAGAGCAGTAAAATAATTGTCTCCAATATCTTAATTTCACCTCATATCAATTAATTTCTACTGTATCTTTAATGATAGCTATTTAAGATAGCTGAAGCAAGTTTGATGCACCCTTTCGAGAATAGAAATGAAAAAAAAAAGTCGAATTAAGTGATCAGATGTGAAACAATGGCGGACAATTGCAAAGTTTGCGCAATTTTAATTTTTAATTAATAAGTGGTTTAGTTAAAAAATAAGTTATTCGTATTAGCTCATAGTAATGTCCAGATACTAATTTTTATATCTCTTCTTGAATGTTACTTTAGAATGACAAGTATTCATTCTCTGAAAACAATTTTATTTTTTAGGGAAATTGTAACCATGAATCACTCACCTTATAATTTAAAAATATATAACATTCAAAGCAGTGTGGCATTTTTCAAAGTACTCCTTTAAAGTAAAGCTCTGTTAACTCATGAGAAAAAGGTACTGATAGTATCTTAAGTGTTGGGAAGATTCCATCACTATAGGATGGAAGGACCTAGCAGTGATTTTATGTGTTTATGTAATTTGCTGCTACATTGAAATAGAAGGCTGTTTTTAATTGTTATTCCATTATAGCCACAGTCCTTAACGGTACTAAACCGTATGATAAAGACCCTGCCGATATAAACTGGTATCTCATACTAAGTTTTACATTGCTTACGGTCACATCACGTTGAAACACCTGTTACCGTATCATCACCAAAGTTAAGCAACGTCGAGCCTGGTCAGTACATTGATAGGTGATCGCTTGGGAAAACCAGGTGCTGTAAGCTTGAATGTTGGATTGGTGTAATGGATAATGCCTCGGAATTGTTAAACGGAGAGTCGAGTTCCAATTCCATTTGGGTTCGTTATATTCACATGTGCGCAGATACCCTTGGGAAAGCTATGAATCCACTTCACTTCCCCTTCTGCTATGGATTAGTAAGATTTATATCACTAAATCACTGTTATCTAAAAAAAATATAATCTAAAAATATTTTCTGGCTTTAAATAACCTTAAAAGGGTTGATAAACCGTAGAAAACAAATAAATCAAAGCTTTACATTTTCATGTAGCGTGTCCATTAGTTCGTGTACACTTTAAAAAAATTATAACTTTATTTGTATTTGCGATAGAAATAATCTGTAAAAAGGATTAGAAAGAAGTAAATCTATATTTTTTTTAATGTTTTATTGAAATTTTATTTAAGTTTCCATTTGCCAACTGATTTACAGTAATGCGTGAAATCACATTAGTTATTTTAGTTATACTTAAAACGAGGTACATAAAACTTTATAACATTTTTTACAGATTATTTCTATTGCAAATACAAATAAAATTTTAAATTTTTTAAAGTGCACACGAGTTTTATGGACGCCCTGAAAATAATATAAAAACAACTTCCATTCTGTATCTGTCTATATTTCTGAGATTAAGTATTATGTACATTATTTACATAATTCGGACTATTGTCCTCATATTTGTCGACATATTTATTACAACGTTTCGGCCGTTGTACTCTCCGGCCTTTTTCAGGTGGTTTGAATGTCGAACTGCAATACGAGCCCTGGTAAAAAAATGAGGCTGAAGATATAAAATTTATAATACCCAGAAATTCATACACAGATGTCTTCAAGGATACATGGCACAGTGGATAAAGGCGTTAGTTAGATCCAGTGACAGGACCCAAAGAGTGTGAGTTCAATACTTGGTTAAGGCATTGGAGAACTTTCAGAGGGAAATTAGCAGGTGATAACTGGCACGTGGAGCGAAATAAAGGGTTCAGTTCGACATTCCAACCACCTGAAGAAGACCGGAAACGGTGTAATAAATATGGCGACAAAGATGAGGACAATAGTCCGAATAATGCAAATAATGACTTCCATTCTTATGACATGCATAACTGCGATACGAAACTCATGACATATTAACTGCGATACGAAAATAGGCCAGATTTAGACAAAGAAAAAAGTATTTAATTTGTGTTAATATTGAATTATTCTGTTCGGTATGATAATATCATTTTATTGAATTATAATTCAAAGAATGCTTAGGTATATCTCAAATATCTAATTTTTAATTGCATTGAAAAATTTTAAAAAAAGACCAGAAACTCTATTATATAAGGATGAAAATTAAATCTTTTATGCAATCTGAAATATTGTACTTCAACAATGATACATGCTCTGTACAGCTTATGATTCGAGGGAGGCATTTGCTTAGTAGAAATTCATTTATTAATCTCAGAATAGTTTTAATAAATTTACAAAATTTTTAATCAAACGCACACACAAATTAGAGATATTTATGACACAAAATGTATGCTGAAACCAAGATTTATGTATTACTCAGTGCACGAAAATGTAATGAATTTTAGTTGTAAATTTGAATAAAATCCAATGTAAGTTTTGAATTTTCCAGAAGGTATTGATTCCCTGACGTTGTTCTCTCTCTCCAGGGCAGAAATCATTCGAGATAAATTATGGCAAAAGAAAAGCACGCAACAAAGACAACCAAAAACAACAACAATAAAGTCATTACTCAAGTTTATTTTGCATATTTTTCTATAAGCAGCAGTTGCACAAAGACAGAGCAAAGTTTGCAATTATTTTGCCATGACCATTCATCAGTCACTGTTTTCTTTTTATTCTTTGTGGTTGGGGTCTTCCAATTTAAGAGGTGCAAATACCGCCATATTGTCATTCCTCGTAACAAGTAAGAGCAATTACTGGATGCACACTTTCTATGCTTCTTACACACAATAAACACACACACACACATATATATATATATTTCCCCAATATTGATTCAAGTAGTGAGTACCAAAACTAGTAAGTTAAGCAAGTCATTGCGAAAATGAAATATTAATTAGAGTGCATCAAGTAGACTACAAAATATTGTCATATACGCTAAAGTTAGAAATTTACTGCTTTACTTTAGCGTGTGTGTGTGTGAGAGAGAGAGGGGGGGAGAGAAACAGAGACAGAGAAAGGAAGAGAGTGCGCCCCTGACAATCGCCGCAAAATGCCTGAAAAAAGAATTTAACAGTTTACATTCAGTCTGGTAATTTATTTGACGCGTAAAAGTGAAATGTCAAATATGAAAACAAAAAGAATGCAAACTTTACCTAACTGAATCCTTTCTTTATCTTCTTGTGGTTGTTACCACGACGTTTCAACCGATCTATTCTATAGCCTTCTGCAGATGAATAATTCGCAAAGAAAAATGGATATCTTTTTCTGACGTCGATAGTACAACAATATTCAATTTTCCTACCACAATTTGAAAAATATTATAATTATGCTCTTAATTTACCCTCTTTTGTGTAAATTCTTCACATCAAAGGTTAATTTCTATATTTCTAATTACTTTCAGGTTGCATTTAATTTATTACACTTTTGTACTTTTTGAAAATTTAAGAATGGTAAATTTTAATTCTGGGAATAACTCTTCGAACTTTGTAAAATTTCCCAGCAGCTAAAATTAAATACGATGTAAGTAGCGTTAATGACAGAAAAAGATAAGCTAAAACACTAAATCTATTAAAATTTTGAAGACAGCTCTAGTTGTTCGAATTCCAAAACTTAGTCCATTCTCCTTCATGATATAAACCTAGCACTCACAAGAAAAAAAATTCGTACGAGTCATCAACTCGTTAACTTGCCCTAAAAATCCCAGTTTTCGAGACAGCAAAAAACCATACACAACAAAATATAATTATTAGCACCAACTTTTAAAAAACATATTTTATACCATTGGAAAGGAAATAAATTGAAGATTAATCTCAAGTTACATTCCCAAATCTACTGCTATTTTTTTTTTTTTTTTTTTAGATATATTCAATTAATTGGACATCTGTGATAAAATATATGATAGGCATTTTCCTCTTTATTCTCTCTTTATTAAATCTAGATTAAAATTAGGTCAGTTTTGAAATATTGCACGTATCAAAAACGGTGATTTGTTTGCTATAAGGGGCAATAAAATGTCACAAGAAATGCATAAAAATCTAACGAAAATTGACAAAAATGTTATAAAAATGTCATAAATTCTATAAGAATATCAGAATGTGTGTTTTGGTAGAAGATATTTCGGTGGATTCTACCAAACATTCAGTCTAACATTTTTCTGCCATTTTTAAGACAATTCAAACCAAATATATATATATATATCCAACCTTTTGCCATTGATGAAAAGCATAGCCTACCTAGGGCAACGATGCCTTTGTCTTCTTCAAAGAACTTCCTTTAGAAGACTTACACACTTATCCTAGCGTACATCATACTTTTATAAATACTCTGTGAAGTTCGTTTTAGGAATCGCCATCAGCTGCTTGGTCATGTACTACTTGAACTCGTCTTTGGCGTTTCAAGAGCAATTTTAGCTTTGGTAAAAGCCAGTGGTTGAAGGGAGCCAAATCTGTCCAATCTGGGTGATGCGATGCTCTGCTGACGAAATTCTGCACTAGAGTTGAAGCATTTATTCCCTAGGTCTTTGCGAATGCGGAAGTCACACAGTACACAAGCTCACTCCTTGAGTAACCCCATGGAAGAATCCCTGTTAATTGGTTTTCAAGTTATATCAAAGCCGCTCAACCGGTTCTCAAGATTTTCAGAACTGATGGATACATTCCGGACAAATTCGATATGTTATTATAAAACAGGATAATTTAAAAGGGATTGAATAAATATTTTCAAAATGTATTTTCACCAAGAAAGATATTTACTAAAATAAGATTCATGTTATTAGTGGCAAACTTGTAGTTGTCATCATACATAAAATATTTTGGAAGGCTGATTTTATTGCAAGCATTTTCCAAATCAACTTTTACAGATAGAAAAGCCTGTGTCTAAATAACTTTTTTAATTTGTTTTCAAATTAGCATTTCCAACATGGCAGACGCGTTTCATTAATACTAGAAACAGACTCTTTGACCAATCCTAAATTCCGTTGGTCTACCGATAAACAATACAATACACACACTTGTGTCGCCAGTTGGCACATTGTCTAATTCTACTCGTGTTGAATGACTACCGTTACATTTTGATAATTCATGAGGTACCGATTGATTTTCTCCTTTGTCAGAGCATCGCATGCAAGCTTTATGCTAAGTTGGAAGCATTCGCACCCCTTTAATCAAAACTCTGCTCTATTTTAGACATAGCCTAGAATATATCACTGGTTTTACTTTGACGCAATGATAAATACAACAGAATCTCCTTTTGCTGCGATTGCTCAATGGTCATAAATTTTTCATGCATCACAGACTTGGTTGATTTGGCCGCCGTGTTCACCTAACACTTAAATTAACAAAGCAGAAAAGTTGAAAGTGTGTTTTTGGCGCGGTACTCTAATTGTCCTACAGTCTTTTTGAGTATAAATTAATTCCGAATACGATTTTCAGAGTACATCGGATGGCATGGGTCATATTGCGTCAGATATGTGTTAGAGAGTTGATTTTTTTTTTGAATCAACATAAATATCTAGTGTTAGTATGAAGTTGTTAGTTTTCAGATCTGCATTTAATTGACACTGTTTAAATTATTCGGACTATTGTCCTCATCTTCGTCGGCATGTTTATCACAGCGTTTCGGCCGTTGTACGCTCCGGCCTTCTTCAGCTGGTTGGAATGTCGAACTGAACCCCTTATTTCGCTCACTGGGGTAGAATGTTCTAGTTCCACGTGTCATGTCTAATGGATATCAGTTATCACTTACCTCCTGTTAATTTCCCTCTCTTTATCCACTGTGCCATGTCTCTTGAAGGTTAGTTAGATCCAGTGACAGGAC